GCGTGGAATAAGGCCCTGAGAAATTTTGCTGGAGATGCAAAATTGAAAGGTGGTTTAATACATAACAAGAAAATGATGCAAGCTGGTGCACCATATGAATAACAACTAATCAATCAATCTTTTTTTTTTGGACTTGAATGCACATGCTTTTGTCTATGCTTGAGATTGTTCAATGAAACATAAATTTTATGGATATCTTAAAACAACAAACAAATATATATATATATACTATATTGAGATCAACAAAGCATGATAATAAAAATCTTATCTTGGTGAAGCCATTCGCAGAGATGAGGCTGAGAGCATTGAGCAAGTGTTCCTTCTCCCTCTCTCACCGTGTTTTCACAACTCTAGAGAGGTGAGGGCTGCTATGAAGGTGATTTACGGCGATGGCCAGACTTGCTGATGATGTATCATGGCGGAGAGGTGAACGGCAGAGCTAGCCTCAACAATTGACGACGGTGGTCAGCGGCTTGCACGTTGGTTGAAGCCCCCAGTCCTCTTACAAGATATTGTTTTGCTTGAGAATGGATATCTAAGACACAAGCAAAGGGAGCATGTGAGTAATCTATATTATGTTTGTTCTACAAAGTAGATAGCCAACGAAAGGAAAAAGAAAAAGAAAGAGGGAATGCTCTTATCTCTTTATTTCCTCCGGTTTATTGCTTCTGGTCTTCTTCTTTGGAGGCATTGGTGCAGATAGTGGCTTAATCCCCAGCAGAGTCGCCAATTTATGTAGGGGCTTTTTTCTTCCGGCAGCTACTACGGGCCTGACTGCCGTAAAGGGCAAAATGGAAGAAATTGCCCCTTGAGCCTGAGTTCGAAAATTAAGCCCCAAAATACCTCGAAAAGGCAGTAGAGCCTTAGGAAGTATTTTGGTTATCTTCACCAACGAGAATAATGGTAACTTGCAGATAGTTTTGGCATGCTTACAGATAGTCTTTTCAGCTCAGCATGAGTGGCATGTGGCATGGGAGCAAAATCAACATGGGTTTAGCACTAAGAGAGAAATTAGGCTTGGTTTATGAGAAAAGAAAGTGTTTAAGTAAGGAATGAGGTGTTTTGTGAGGAATTCGACTAGGGAAAGAGGAAAAAGAAAGGCAGAGTTCTTCTGGCAGCTGCCAGAAAAACAAATTGGAGAAGAAGATGAACAGTGCACGAGCTTGTTGAGTTTTTGCAAGTTAGAGAGAAAGCTTGCTCTCTGCAGGTTGTGGGTTGTTTTTGTTGGGTAGGGGAAGGCTCAATTTATAGCTGTCGGAAATCACCATTTTTCAAGAAACCCTAATGGCTTCTACTTACTTTGGCTAAGCTTTTCTTCCTTTCTCCTCCCCTTCTCTGACTTCCCTTTCTTGGCAAAGATTGCTTCTGTCTATTTTCATGAATTCAGGGGATTTGGGGGCTCAACATCCTCCTTTCCCGCGGCTGTGCAATGGGAGCTTCCACTCTTGGTTTGCTGTTTTTTCTTCTTTTCTTTCCTCTTCCTTGGCTGAATCTGACGAAGGAAAAGAGGTGAAAATACATGCTGGTCCAAGGGATGCTTCTGACAGCATGCGGGATGGTATTCATCGGTTCTTTGGATGTCTCTGGCTTGAGACTGGTTTCCAGCAGCTTTGCTTAAGGAGTCTGCCATCTGCTCTTCACGTGTCCTCTGCTTTCTCCAAAAGCTGAGGTTTTTTGTGGGCTATTTTAGGATTTTTATATGGGCCAAGGTGATTTCCTAAGCAAAAGGGCTTTTACTAAACATTGGGCTTCTTAGTTTGGGCTTTATTTTGGTTGGGTTGTTTTGCTTGGGTATTGGGCTACTTTTCTCTCTTGTGCTTACCCACATGTTTGGGCCTAAGAAACGGGCTTGAGTCTCGAGGCTCCCAAGCAACCCGAGACTTTCCATTTCTCGGTCCATCAATGGGTCTCATGTTGATTTATCACCATCCATACCACAACCCACTCAAGCAAGCCCCGGGTATTTGAGTGGCTTGGGGCCCACTTAAGCTTGTGGCGTGATTAGGTGCGGAATGATAATTCCTTGCTTAGCGTGGCGTGTCGTTTGGCGTGGCATGTGTGCAAGCGCATATGATGAACTTTCGCATGCCCAAATCGGGTTTCTTCTTGGTAAAGCATCACATTGGGCCGAGAATTTATTTGGGCCGAACCGTGAATATTTTGGGCCTCAACACTTACTTAGTGCTTGCACTAAGGGGAAGGGGCTTTATCGGCTAGTGCGCAGGAGCGCACTTCCGTTTTCCCTTTACTAGTAGGGGGTCCCGTGGTTTCTATGCCACCTCGTTTCCAAGTCCTTTTCTTTTAGTGCTTCGACCCAAAGCGATAGGGTCGAAGCATCTCTTTTCTTTTCTCATTTCCCGTGGTTCCTATCCATTATTTTTTTCATCTCTTTATTTTGCTATTTTCTATGCATCTATTTACTTGACTGTTTGGGTCTTCATTTTGGTTCTATCTTTTCTTGTTTGGTTTTTTGCATGGGGGGTGGGCAAGCACTTCCTCTTCCGGCGTCGTCCTCCGGCCCATCGAGCTCGTCCATGCTCCTGTCTATACTGCAGCTTTCACTCTACCAATTGAATCCTCATCTATATTTTGATATGAACCTAAACCAGTAACTGAATTCTTACTACACGAAGGAGGAATCTAAGAGCATGAGGGCTAACAACGAGAAGGTGAGGTCGTCTCTCCTTCTTTTGTTGGATATTCAAAACTAGCTTAATTAATCTGAAACTAGCCCTATGCTTTCCTTATCATCTGTAACTAGCTATCGTAGACTGAAAGCCTCGTAAACTGGATAAATAGGCTATCACAGAGGTAAGGAGGTCTAAGCCTATCGGTTAATATTAATCTTTCTTCCCTCCAAATAAGCCTAACTTGTACACCTCTTGTCATGAGGATGTGATCTTATCCACCGATGGGTCTTATATTCTAAGCCCAATCCTCTCGTCTTAGGGTAGGATATCCATATACCTTAAATCGCCGGAACTTCTCCTTTTCGGTTGACAACCTATGTTGGGCTAGCACATGAACACTCTCTCAGTACTTAAGGAGTAATTCCAAATAACACGACTCCAATCCCATAATACCGACGTCTAAAAGACGAGATATCTAACCTGAACGTTACTTAAGTGGAAAATGTTGGGAACACTGACTTATATCATGATTTGATTTTTCTTTGGCCTATTAATCAATTCTTTTCTGTGGAAATTTTTTTTGACTTTGTCACTCAAATTGTACAAATATGGTTGTGTGGCTTTTGTAGGGGTCTTTTTGTTCCAGCAACCTGACGAATGGGCTTGGGCTGCCGTAAGAAGAAAACAGACAAAAATTCCCCAAGTGCCTGAGTTCGAGAACCAAGCTCCCAAAAGGATTTTTGAAGAGTTTGATGAAACCTTAGAAAAACTCTTTTAGGTCATCTTCACTAATGGCCAAAAGACACAACAAATCGATGAATGACTTGGCTTGAGGAGCTTGTGGCATGGGAGCTAAGCTTTCACAAGTTTAGCAATTTGAGAGAGAGAGAAAAGCATGAGTTTCTTACAGAGGACAGAAATTTAAACCGGGGCAAAGAAAGATTAGGGAGATTTTTATCTCAGGGAAAGAAGAAAACAATGGAGGAAGGAGATTGGGTGGCTTGAGTAAATTCCAGGTTGCTTGACAAAGCTTGGTCAGGCTTTGGATGGGTTGTTTTTTTGGGTAGCAGAAGCCCTCTTTTATAGGCACAAAGAACCCTAATTTAACCATTTCCTCCCTTTTTCGTTGCTTCTTTCCACTTAATTCTTTGGTGAAATTCTCCCATCCAAGGCGCATAGGTAAGGATCTCTTTGTGGTTCCAAGGTTTTGGCATAGCTGGTCTTTCTCCATAGGGGTGAAGCGCCACTTACTTTCTTCTCGATTTTTCCTATGGGAGCTAACAGAGGAAAAGGGGGAATGGACATACTGTTTACCCAACGAGTAAACCTCTTGCTCATATGGATTTCCTCTGGTTTTTGTGTTGGCTTCCGTTGACTCCGTTGTATAACTTTGGGCAAAGGCTGAACGTGTTTGCTAGATATTTTATAGAGTGTTAGGCTGGGCTTTTCCCAAGGCTTTGGGTCGATGATATTCTACTCTACAGTGACTCGTCAGCTTGTTTTCGTCAAGTTGCTAGAAGTAGTTTGCCTGTTGCGTTTTTAACAAGTATTTGGGCATTCTAATTAACATAGGGTTTCCAAAGCAAACTACTATATTCTTTCTAAGGCATTGGGCTATGTTCTCTCTCCCACGCTAGCCCATGTGTTTGGGTCCAAGAAATGGGCTTGAGTTTTGGTGCTCCCAAGCAGCCCAAAAGGATTAAAATATCGGCCGACCTCAATAAGGCTTGTGAAGAGTTTGCGTCGACTACACCGACCTCAATAAGGCATTCCCTACTGACAACTTTCCGTTACCAAGAATTGATCATCTCGTAGATTCAACTTCTAGCAATCATTTGCTAAGCTTCATGGACCCTTACTTCGACTATAATCAAATCATGGTGCATGAGACGACAAAACAATATTGCAGCATAGTCATGCTCTTTAGGCTGAAGAACGCCGGAGCAACCTATCAAAGGCTATGGAGGTCTACATAAACGACATGCTAGTCAAAGCTCCTCGACGAGCAGACCACATCAAAAATCTTGTCGAAGCATTCAGCTTGCTCTAAAAGAATTACATGAAGTTGAATCCGAACAAGTGCACATTTGGGGTCTCATCTAGCCAATTTTTGGGATACTTAGTCACCCAAAGAGGCATCAGGGCACATTCAAACCAAATCAAGACAATATTCAACATGAAATCGCCTGCCACAACAAAGAAGATACAAAGTCTACTGACAAGTGTAGGCCATTCTTCAAAGCCTTGAAAAAATGACAAAAAGACAAATTGGACGATGAGTGCGAAGTTGCTTTTCAAAACTTAAAAACCTACCTCATTTCACCTTCCCTACTCTCAAAACTAGTACCATGCAAAAATTTGCTTATCTACATGGCAGTGTCCAACTCAGCAGTGAACTCAACTCTTATCCAAGATAAGCTGGGAGCACAACATCTGGTATTCTACACGTCAAAAGCACTCCTCGATGCAAGAAAGTAAACACCCTACTACTAAGCTCACCAAATAATCACCATAACATAATTTTCTTTGAGATCTATCCTTCACAGCCCCGACGCTTCTCAGCGGCTCATGAAACGGGCTATTGAACTCAGTCAGTACAACCTCTTCTACCGGTCGAAGACTGCTATAAAGGCCCAAGTTTTAGTTGATTTTGTTGTAGAGTTTACTCCAACAGCTAAAGAAGAGAAGCTGGTCACAAAAAACAAGGAAAATTCGAAAGTAGACAATACCTCATTCGCAGATCCAGACATGCCCAAAGACATGTGGCAATTACGCGTAGACGAAGCATCAAATCACAATCGAGCTGGAGCAGGAGTTGTCATAATCACCCCAAATGGAACTTTGTTGGAGCAGACCATCACACTGGGCCTTCCAACTTCAAACAATGAAGCAGAATATGAGCCATTGCTCGCCGAATTGAGCCTAGCAAAAGAACTATTGATCAAGAAATTGGCCATCTACTCAAACTCCTAATTGATTACAAATCAAGCTTAAGGAGAGTACATGGCAAAACATCCGAGAATGGTTAAGTATCTCGACAATGTCCAAGAACTTTTGAAGGAATTCCCCACTTTCACCATCCAACAAATTCCTCGGGCAAAGAACACTCATGCAGATGCACTGGCAAGCCTAGGATTAGCGCTGGACACCCAGTTCAAATGCTCCGTCCTGATCGAACACCTTGACCAGCCAAGCATTGAAGAAATAGAGCAAGTAGACTCAATGCGAATTGATGAGGACCATAGCTGGCAAGACACCATCATTAACTACTTGGCAAATGGAAATCGTTCATATTGGGTCGTGCGTGGTAGCTGGTACAGATGAATAAAGGCGAGCGCTGAAAAGGAACCATCCCAGCCTCTTCAAGAAAACTTGGCTTGGTACGTGCTACCTATTCACTTGGACAATGCTCTGAAGATGAAAGTGTGCAGTTCTGCCCCCTTCTCCCATGCTGAGTCACAGGCAGCGCCTCAGAAAGCGAAAGCAAGAATGAGCCACATGTAAGGAAACTTGCACATGTGGTTCTGGCCGGGGACCCCTGTATATTGTACTAATATATGTAGGTCCCCGTAATTCGAGTGAGATTGTCATGGCGCAAAAGCAGATATGGTCCGGTATTCCCCTGTTCCCTGTATTGGTTATGTTCTTCATTTCTTGTCTAGCAAAAACTAATCAAGCTCCATTTGATCTCCCAGAAGCGGAAACTAAATCAGTTGCAGGCTATAATGTAGAATATGCGCGGGATGCGATCCTTAGTAATCCACTATTGGCGGAAGCCAATGTCCTAGCCTAAAAAATTGAATTATCGAGGCAGAGTTAGAAGAGGCCCAGAAAGAACTTCGCTTCTGGGAAGAGAAGGGAACGCACTATTTTAAGGAGGAGGCTTGCCTCTATTGTGCCCGGCTAGAGGGAGAGAAGATGGAAAAAGACTTCTGTTCTCTCGAAAAAAGGGTTGAGAATCTCCGCCTAGAGCATAGGCGGCGACTTTCACTAATCGCATCACGTTGGGGCTAGAGTGAGTGAAGGAGAGGCACTTCCTTGCGCTACATAGTGAGTGAGTGAAGGAGTCGGTTACTTTGTTGGTTGTTCCTCCCTCATTTCTTTCATAACCTACTACAACTAAAGAAGCATTTCTCCCAGTCTCTGAAAATAGACTGAGAGCTTTATTGAGCACGAAAGAAAATTGCATTTATGGGGGGATATATATATCCCTTAACGCCTGATCTCATTATAGCTTCTTCGCTTATGAGGCACTTAAAAAAGATAAAAATGGAATTTTACTTTTGATAGGAATCGGGGTTGCAGTAAGTGGGGAGTTTTACTTTTTTGTCGGGCTCCACAAAGCCTTTGGCCGACATTTGAATATGTAACATCATAACAACGAATAGGAATGAAACGACTATAGCTCCTATATGAACTACTGGGAATATTATTGCGAAGAAGTCGAGACCTAACAAAAGAAGTAAACCTAAAGTGTCGCGAAAGACTGGAATAGGAAACAAAACGGAATGTACCGGATTTTTTGCACGTGCAACCATCAAACCAGAGGCCAAAGCAGGGCTCGACAATACGGAAAGTATCATGACTTATTAAGATTCACTTGTAGTTCCACTTCTTGCTCTAACAGAAAGACTTTTTCGGAAATCTGGTTGGTCCATGGATAGTTTCATTCAACACATACACTGATCAGCTAGAGGTCTTTTTACTTTAATTTGGGCCATGGCGGCCTGTGCTCCTAAGATCATAGAAGCAATGCTGCAGAAAAAGAAGATTTATTGCAATGTAGCTCCATAGGAACCATAAATAGAAACACGTGAAATATTTGCAGAAATAGAAATTTTAGGCGCAATAGAAAGGAATGATGTAACCAGGGTGGGTGAATCCTCATAGATATCAGGTGCCCACACATATAGAGTTAAAAGAGATGTGGAGTCCGAAGGGGAAGGGGATTTGTTCGGGGCTCGAGAGAGGGAATAAATAGATAGGAGGGCCCCGCAAGTTTTTAATTTGTTGCAGGGGAATTCACACGAAAGGAAACGAGGAATTCTCAACGAAAAAAGTGCTCTCTGAATCGAACGTGAAAGTAGTTTTCCATCAGATGGCTGTTCCCGTAACTCCACTCTCGACTTGGATTATATATCCAAAAAGGTCCGCTCTCGGCCATTCGACACGCCTCGAGCACTATAATCCGATGGACTGACCTAGTGATAGGAAGAGAAGGAGTAGTTCACAACTGGCAAGCGATCAATTAGGGATTGATTTAGTGCCCTATTATAGAAGGCCGATGGGTAGACCCAATATATATCAGTACTCGTGATCCGGGGAGTACCTAGGGAACTTATAAGGCCTTTACATTGAGGGAAACCTTGCTGTACGTGAAAAAAAGAGAAGTTAACTGTTGCATAACCTCTGTTTTCATTGGGCATTGGAACTATCACAAGTGCAGAAAAGAACTTGTTGATATAAGAAGATCTCTTACCATATGGTCTTAAGTTGAGTATAGTACTCAGCAACAGTCATATCCCCCTGACTAAGATTTTGGACTTCTTACTCAACCTGGAATATCTTAGCTTCAATTCCTATGGAATAAAGATCATGGAAATAAAAGATCATACCTATTTAGCCGATGCCATAAACATAAGACTGGTAGCAATTGTAGGCTCAATTGCACTGAGAAGCCATCACATGACCAGCTGATTTGTGGAACTCCAGTCAACCATCTTGGTCTCATTCATATTGGGGATCAGAGACAGAAAGACAGCGGGCTGATACATGAAGCTCCATAAATGCTTTCCACCGACCAGTCCTGTGGTGAAACGGAAGGCACGAACTCCGTGAACGTCCTGTGCCCTCTTTACTAATAAAGGAAAGAAAGCCTCAACCAGAACCACATTCCTACTGTTGTGGCTGGTGCTAGTTTGCGCGCGTGCGTGAACCAACCCAACAAACAAGGAAAGAATGCCTCTCGGGGAATCTGAGAACGATTCGAGCCGTATGAAGGGAAACTCTCACGTACATTTTTTTTTTTTTGGGGGGGGGGGGGGGGCGAGCCCACCAAGGTTCCCCCACTGACTTGGCCTAGGCCTAAGTGAAAGTGAAGTGGTGGGCCTACCCATCCCAACCAGGGATATGCTGGGATTCGCGAAGAGCAGCACCTTACGATGTTCATGACCAATCAGATCCTGACGTACCAATAGGTACCAGAGGAGATCGCTATGATCGTTACTATATCCGTATTGAGGAGATGCGACAAATTGTTTGGATCATTGTGCAATGCGGTTCGTCATTTATTGACGGATTTTTCGGGATTTATCTTTCTTACAAATGACTGTTCAAAATTTCACCTATACCTTTGATATTCAAATAATTTATATTTTCTTATGCAATGTTTAGTTTATTATTATAAGCGTTGATAGCTCTCTTCTTTAAGGCTTATTCCATATAAGCTAACATCCTTTAAGAAAGGCTCGAGAATAAATACTTGAGTTGATCTACTTTCGATATGAGCCGAACGGGATGTTCCAGGAGATAGTGTCTGAGCTTTTGTACTGAAAACACAAATGCCAGGTATATATTTTCTATGTTTGAGTAATTTCACTATGTGCCTACCAGGGTACGACTTAGATAGTATAGAGCAACACTACCTTTCCTTTTCAGCATGGTGCTCACTGAACCTTCGTAATATCTAACAAGTCGAGTCTTATGTTGGTCATATAGAACACCAACACATAGAAAAAGGGCTGAAGGAACCAGTCCATGACTTAACATCTGTAGAATGCTACCTCCAATTCCCTGTATGTTCGATAAAGGCAAATATTCTCCCCCACTAATCGAAGTATGCCGATTACCCCCTGAACTGTACAAGATAGTTACCACCTATCATACGGCTTTCTAACTTCACTTATTTTTCTAGTCGTTCCTGACAGGACCTGACCCAAATTCCACTTTGGAACCTGAGCCGAACCCTGTGCGTGTCCGACACCTGGCGGATGTCAGGCACAAATGTCCTAATTGCCCTCCGATACAAATATTCAATAAAATAACAAGCTTGACTCCTACCAAAAATTCGGCAGAGTCTCCCCTATAATTTGATCATTTCCCAAATTTTACACCTGTCAAACAAGCATATATATACAATCCAACTGCCAGCATGCGAATATATATACATTCTAACAGTTAAATCTAAATTTTAGGGCAGGTTATCAAAGCAATCACTAAGAAATTACAAAAGAAGTCAACTCATTTACAGAAGAGCCCTACATCAAAATGGGGAAGTGCGGAAAGTGGAAACGGCCCTGTGGTGGATCACTGTGCACGCCGACTGCCTGGGGGCGCAAAACATTGAAAAATGTGAGTGGACCAAAAACAAAGTTTTTGAAAAATAACATAAGAACATACTAACCCCACTGTAAAAACAGTTATAAAAACTGAATCAACTTCTTCATATATACTCGTACTGAACTCATGAATTCATATTTATACATATATTACCAAACATTAATCTTGCTGAAAGACATTGAAGTAAAGTTCAACCTACCACCTAGGTATACTTATTTGTTTCCGTCAATTCCCTTAATTACTATCTATTCCTCGTGTCACCGTGGTGACACACCCTCGCAAGATTCAGGTTAGCCTGATCCGCCCTCCTCGCAAGACTCAAGGGACACTAGGCCCACCCGAGCTGCATTCCTCGCTCCCACCGTTCGAATATCCCTAAGCCTCATGGGGCAAAACCATCATGAATATTTAATTAATAAAATTGCTCGTTATAAGTATTTAATTAAAACCCTGACCCCCCGCTCCTAGAAGTGTGTGCACTAACTTTAGAATCGTTCCTATGCCCACAAAATCTTTCCTTACATTTGGAATGGTTTAGAAGTGCCTCGGGACTCAACAAAACGCTAAAGTCCCAAAAAGTCAACCTGGGACCCCGTGGGTCCTCGACCTCTACATTCTTATCCGGAAGCTCCTAGAGGTTCCAATATACCTAGGACACATGTCCAGAAAGTTTGATCTCGATCGGACGGTCGAACAGATCACGATCGTACAAATCGGCGGTTCCTGTAATCCTAGCCCTAGGGTTGGCATTTTCAGAGTATCTGGGGCTCCGATTTACGATCCGTCGAATTCTATATGATCCTGGAAATATCTAGATTAACATATCTGAAAATGACTACGATCCAACGGCTCAAACGTATGAAACCCTGAAATAGCACAATAGGCGAGATCCGTTCGGGGTTCAAACGTTATCCAAATTGAAATCCGCGGGTACCTATGCGCTCGTAAGGACCAAGGGATCATTTTAGGACTGAATGTGGTCCCCTCCATGCTGCCCACGCACCACCAAACACGTTGGCAGGGCTTGGGCGACTTGATAAATTTCTAGTGATCGAAAAAACTCCAAACTACCGGAGGTTATGGAGGTTTGGAACAATCGGACGAAAACAGGGGAGGGGAAAGACGCGGGGAGAGAGAGAGGGAGGGAAAGAGAGAGAAAAGAGGTTTTTCTAAAAAAATCTGCCTTGGCAAATTACCATTTTGCCCCTCCACGTATTTTAATCGTATTTTCTTTGTTAAAAACCCGACTCGAGCCCACTACGTGTCTACAGACTCATTCCGTCACCCTCTACGCAACGGTGCAAGCGGAATTTCCAAATTCCTTCCCAGCCAAAAAGTCAACTTTTCCTTTAATAAACTATTCTAGGGGCAAAATTGTCTTTCTCTCTAATAATTAAATATTATTTAAGGACCGGGTTGTTACAGTTCCGCGTTGTCGATTGATGGTAGTATAAG